TGAAGAGAAGCAATGGCGTGGACGTAGTGCTTATGATCCACGAATCGACTTGGGCCCGAGGCGTGAAAGGCTGAGCGGATTCCGTGGATATGGCGGTAGAGACAGAGTGAGTCGACTTCTGTGCTATACAGGGCACGACATGCCGTCGGGAAAACTTTTTACAGAGTACAACCTCCCTTACCCATTCTTCATCCAATTTACCTACCGACTCTCTAAATCTCCTAACTTTCTGCCCCTTTTTAGGACTTTTTTGTTGAATTCTTCTGCTTGTTTCCCTAGAACCTCCTGTTCCACGGAAGGGGGTGCAAAGCGCTTTCGCAGTAGCAAAATCGAGAAAAGTCAAAAACTTAACTCCCCCTCAGCCACCAAGTATGACCATCGTACCATCGGGATTCTCAACGTCTGACGTGCCGTGATTCAGTTTTTGTTACTTCTCCATGCGTAAATGTTTTGCTGTTGTTCAGAATGATCGGCGAGACCGTGATTATGACTCAGCTCCGCGGAGACAGTATAGCTCGCGTTCTGCAGCTGATGGAGTTTGGACGCATGACAAGTTCATTGAATTAGAAGGCGATGACGGTAAGACTCACTCCACGTTCCTTCGACATTGCTAAATCGTTTTCGTTTGACTGACTTTGCTTTAAGAAATTGAAAAATTTTGCTTTGGAGTGGAACTGACAAGTCAGTTCTTTAGGTAGCGATAATGAGCACAACTCAGGCGTCGAGGTGGTTGTTGATCAGAGTTTGGGCTCAAAGTCGAAACGACGGATCCATGAGGTCATTCTTAGCTTCTTTTCGATATCTATAGTGGCTTCTACATCAAATCTTCACAAATCGGAGCATTCTCATAATTTATGATTATCAGACATTTTGATGGGCAAGAACTCGCTAGCGCCAAACTGGCGCCTATTTTTGCCATATGGCACCGCCGATAATATGTACATCGGAGCCCTATGTTATCCCTACAGTAAAGATTTCAGCTGAAATTCTCTTAGTTTCTGGAGTGGCTGTAGTTGAAAAACCCTACTTTTAATTGATGTCATGAAAACAACATTTCCCTACCCCCTCCGCTTGCGCATTCACCTTCCACAAGTGATCAGAAGACAAAGAAAACATTGGCGCAGTTCCGCGACGAGGGATGGGGGCATTTTGCCACTTCCCGTTGACCTGTCGACCCATCTAGACAGCTATTTCATTATCTTAAAGGAGTTGAAAGGTTTAAAAGACAGCGTCCGCGATGGACTTTGGCAGGTTTCAGGGGTCAAATTTGCTAGAACACATATTGTAGGGCCAAACAGGTGGCAAGGAAGCACTAATCAAACAGAACAGCGCAGGAAAAAGGTATGAAAAGCGGTGCAATAAGACGCCTTTGAAATGTATAAGGGCATGTTGAACGAGTTGTTCGCAACTTCTGGGTGCAGTTCTCCAATACACGTCGCCGCCTCGGAACTCTAGAAATTCAGCGTATATCAATGCCAGCAAGCATTGATAACTGTCAACCAGTCGGGGCGGGATTAACAGGACAGGAGGCGTCAGCCCGGCTCTGTTGACTCCGCCCTCGTCAACCAATCGATTTCGAGCCGCAAGAGTGGGATTTCCGCTGTGGTTGCGGACTCCGCGTTCGTTTTCAATGGAGGTTTTTTCACTTTGGTTGATCGCGGACGCTGCCTTTAACCATGGTGGCTCGACGAACTTGCTCCAGCTTCACATGGGTTCACAGGTTTCACCTGGGTGAGACTTGTGAAGCAACGAAAGTGCAAAACGCACCCCTCTCCCCCCCCCCCTTTCCCGTCGCCGAACTGCGCCAAAACGCCACAGAAACAACAGCAACAAACCAAATGTGGTGCGAAAAATTTGTGGGTCACCGTGTATCGTAATATTGTCTACGTGTTGAATCACATTACTTTCGTTGGAATGGAATGATTTATAATTGCTTTCTCTGAAGAAACGTCATTTCAGCATGATGACGATACCAGTGAGAGGAAGTGATGGTCGTCAAGCGTAGCAGCTGCCAAGCTATCAGAAAGATCGGGTGGATTGTGTTCCGATGCTGACGCTACTTCAGGCCCTATTTTATTCCAATTTGCTGTTGGCGTTGTTTCGATGTGATGTTCGCAATGTAGCGAACTTTGTATACCTATTTCGTCCAAATTTCTGTTAGTGTATTTATATGTTGGATCATCTTAGTAATTTGTTGGCTTGTTGGAATTTGCAGATTTCTTTGTTACCTGAACGTATTTCCTACCGATGTCCTAACTTTTGCCCAATTGTATGCGCGGTTAGGGTGCGTTTATACTTGACGTCGTTTTGAGCGCGAATAGGAAAGGATAGGGTCGATATAGCGACTGGCCGCGAAACGCTCAAAACGCTGACGCCAGGTATGAACGCACTATTGTTTATTCGCGATTCGAATTCGTTGGCAAGTAAAGCAGCATATTTCCCTCGTCATTACTTCAGTTTGTCTCCTATGCGCGAACAATGCAGATTAACAGTTGAATAAAAAGATTGGCATGATTTTTTTTGTATCATGGGTGCAATGCTAGAGAGCATTTCTTTTTTGAAACCTTCAAAGTTGTACTGTACTGAATTAATCGTTGTAGGGTAAAGAATGGGCGAGGAGCTGGATGATTATATGTCGGATGATTTCCTGAATGTGACAAAAGATGTGAAGCCAGGTAATACCTCTGCTTTTTTTGACTCTAGGGAGGGGTCTAGGAAGGGGGATACAGAGCAAAAAAAATTGGTACTAGCAGGTTGCAGTGACTTGGAAGGTTCTCATGAGGAGGGAGGGGTCGAGGTGGATTTGCATCAGAATTTTTAATCCGGTTGTATTACTTTCTCGCGTTTCCCGTTTCATGTTCACTATGTTACCTCCAATTTCCCCCCCCCCCCCCTCACCCCTTTTTTTTAGTTGCCCGTGAAGCTGCAGCCTTGTTCGTTCGCTGGGTCATTTCAGGGACTGGTCCGCAGCGAGCAATGCTGTACCATCCATTCAACCCTATTTTCGACAGCTGAAATCAGTGGTTGATTGGTCTTCTTACTCCGCCTCCTCCCCCCCCCATTGTCGAAGCGATTCCTTGGGGAGAAAACTGGAAAACTGTTTTAGAAACCATGAGAGAAATCGTAGGAAATAAGGAGACCTTATGAGATGAGAGGTAGAATGACGAAGGGGGGGGGGGGGTTCGGCTTTCAACCGTGAGCTACAACTTTATATGGCACCATTTACCCAGTGGTGGTAGTCCCTTTCAGATTCAGGCTTTTTTTAATCAGATTTCTGTTCCTGGGTCTTGGTATCGGCGAGAAGAGGAAATCGAGGATAGTTCGACCCGTTGTAGGCTAACGTAGGCTTCTTTTGGCTAGAAAAAAGGGGAAAGGTGCAACAGAACCGTCCGGGGCAGCGCCCGCGGCACGCGGCGCGAATGACTCAGCAGCTCACTTACGTGCATTTGCTAGCCGATAGCTTTGCGACTGGAGCAAATGATTTACTACAGCGTACATCCGCAACATTTAGCAGGTTTCATCAATGATTGAAAATCTAATGATGTTTTTCTTGATAGTAACACACAATTGTTTGGCGGTTCCATAAACGCAACTTCAGGAAATAAAAATACAAAAGAAACAAATGAGGGTGTCCGCAGTCATCAGCGTCAATATAATAGACGGATGGCCAAGTTTTTCTGTGAGCTGCTGTAAAAGATGACAAACCAGAGCAAATGTTAAAGACCCCAATGAATTTCGTGCTCTATTGAACTTTTTCATACTCTAACTGAAAACTTAACCGTAACTGAACACAAGACTCGATCCTGGGTGATATCAATATTTACCTTCCCTTCAATAACCCTATTCAAACCGCCAGAAGCACGCTTCGTCTTCTCGCCGCATTTGTCGCAGGCCACGCCCACCAGCTGCACCGGACGATCCTGTTGCTACACACCTAGAAAAAGGTCTGACGCTTGCGCTTGAAGCTGTGGAGCAGCAGGACCATTTCAGAGCGGGCTCCAAGTGCTTCGTATGCTGAACGGATGTGCTATTTCCAAAAAGGGATCTGTGTAGACTCAAGTGATGATGGCAGATCTGCACCCGTCTATGGGTATAGAGGAAAATCTAACTGGAACCTCGAAGGTCTAGGGAAAAATCGTGCCGTTCCCTTTTTTCAGGGGGGAGGGGTGGATCGGACTGCGAGAGGTTCTTCGTATATATCTTACCTTTTACAGGTACTTTTCCCTAAGATGGGCTTACTATTGAAATATTGTTTTGAATGATTGATTCCCATCAAGTTGTCCTCTTAGGTCTTGTAAGGAGTCGAGAGCACAAGATATGGCTGAAGGCAGAGGCGGAAAAGATGAAGTATAAATCAGATGAGCGGTTACCTCCGAAAAAGAAGCACGAGTTAGGTATGACTACCTCTAGTGTATTGAGTCTTCCTTTATGCGGCTGTTTTTCCCCCTACTCTTTTCACCTTTTCCACTGCTTCAAAAATACTGCGTTTTAAGAAAGAAGCATTCGCGAGGAGGCCTTGAGCAAACCAGTTCCGGAAACCTCGAAAGGATTTGCTCTCATGGCTAAAATGGGATTCAAACCAGGAATGAGTTTAGGAAAGAAGAAAGACGGTACAGTTTAATTTCATCTTTCAAATGTTATAACTGTCGGTCGTGTAGGCAATAGTTCTGCATTTAGAGAACGATCTTGGATCCGGTATCAGGGAACCAATTCCTATTGAGGTAAAAGCAACCAGAACTGGGTTGGGGCATGGTAGTGCGGAGGAGCAGCAAGCTAAGTTGAGGCTCCAGCGTGAAATGGAACGAATGAAGCGGAGAGCTGAACAACATGTACGTTCCTTTTGGCTTTTTAGAATCGCTCCCTTAATATTCGAAGAGAATAAGACGCGTTTCGCCGAGAAGGGGGGGGTACAGTTTCCCTTTCCGCTGCTTACCATTGTCGTATCGTACCATCAAGTAGAAAATTCTAAATTTGTGGAATTTCATGCAGCTGTGAAAAGGTAACTATTCAAAATTGTAGAAATGCTTGTCAGCTTCGTATAGGATATCTGTCGACACTTGTAAAGCAATGAACACGTCAGTGGGAAGCAGCGAAAGTCCAAAATGCTCCCCCAGGCTGAATGCGCCCCCCCCCCCGAAACTATTGAAGACTTTTTTTGTTTTAATTTTGGAAGTGACACGGTCATTTTCTCTTGTTCTGCGTTCATATGCCGATTTTAGGTAGAACTGACTGAGGAATATAAAAAACGTAAACGTGAAATCTCTAATACAAAAGACCTCATTCGTGATATCTTAGCCAGTAGAAAGATTTGCGTTGAATTGGACTTGAGGTGAGAAAGTCTTGGAGGGCTTCAGGGTTTTCTTCTCATGAATCACTAGCATACATTTGACCCAGTTCATATAAGATTTATATTTTCAGAATAAACATGGAATTACCAGAAGAACCATGGTTCTGGAAAAGTTATTGTAAGCGAAAGGAAGTGGTCGACGACGACGTTGAAGCAAGTAGTTACGGAAGGAGTGATTGTGACGAGGACTTGGAGTGAGTTACGGTAGCATAAATGCAGCTTTGCTGCAGAATCATTTTTACAGCCCTTTAGCATAGTAAATTAAGAACGGGCTCACCTCATGACCTACATTTTAAAGGGGCGTTTCTCAGCAAAAATGGTAGGTCGTGGAGCTCACATACCGATAACAAGGTGAAAAACATTTCAGTTGTGTAGGAAAAGTAAAAAAAAAACACTTCTGAAATGTTCTTGATGGGACCCTCTGCCGATCCGAAATTATACGAGTATGAGGCGAAGATGGGCGTGCCTGGACGAGTATTTCCTTGATGGTACCGGCTCTTTTCTTATCACCTCACCCTCATTATTTTGAATTGGAAAAGTTATTAGCGGAATAAGTGCACCACAGAAGAATCTTCAGAAATGAACTTTGGGCGTAGTATGGGGCAGTGGGCGGAGCACTGCTTTCGTTTCGAGCCATGAAAGAGTGCATCTTCAGTGTTTGCGGACTGGACAGGCATGTGCACATGTTGAACGTAGAACGTGACAACGGATTCGTTCAAGTCCTCAGGCGAGGAAACAAAATGGTGGCTAAAGCAAAAGGGTTGGCTTTATTGGCTCAACTAATTATGCACTGAGTCTGATGCGTCATGTAAATAAGTGCTGTGTTGCTTCAGCAGCAAGCCGTCACCATGTTAATCCGAGGATTTCGTCGGTGAGACATTAATAATTTTCTATTATACTATTACTATTAATATTTCAGGTTCCTCTATGCAAATGGGAAAGAAGCGCCTCAGGAGGAACGATACGATGAGTTGCCTGATGAGATTCTGCAGGAAAGGTACCTTAAATTATTACTCCGCATACATATAGTTTCCCATTGTATGGCCTAGGGGTAGTACATTTGTATCAGAAGAGTAGCAAGTGGTCCGCTTAACACGCGTGCGGTACAGGGTTCAAATCCCGCATCTGCTAGTGCAACACCAAACAAGCCTTCTAACCCTCGGCGAGGCACATTGGTACCGGATGCGTCTGGAAGGATAAGAACGCTGACTTGAGCATCGTATGATCCCCCAACCCTTTGTATAGGCAACATCGCATTCAGTAAGCCGCAACGATTCTGGATGGAAGTTGAATGAGTGCTGCATATCAGTTGACTTCGATTGAGAAGATTATCATTTTATCCTCAACTTTTGAAAAACTACGGAAGTTGAAATCCCAGGGAACTTAAAGGCATGGCTTTCCATCACTTATAACTGTCTAAGCTAATTGTAGGCAAAGGTGTTGTGAACCGGATTAAAAACCCAATACAAGTTTCTCGTGAGAAGATCAACGCTGTGGGTTTCAAGGTGCAGAATCGCTCAAGTGACCCGCCTTAGGACCAGTGACCCCGCCCATTCCGTTAGATTTATAACCTGTTGTACTGCTTGCTTGCATGCTTTCTCACTGCTCTTGCCTGTTTCTAGCCCGATATCTCTACCAATTTTTTTCGTCTGCTCTTGCGAAGAATGGCCATTTTAGGAGCAGTATCAAGGGTTTCCTCTGCTTTTTTTCTTTACGGACAGGTCAACTAGCACATAATTTCTGTTTTCCGAACCCAAACCAGGAGTCTGGCGCCGCACTAAACCCATCGAGCCTGACAGCCCCCTTCATCCGCAGCGAACAAGACTGTTCATGTTTCTCGCCTGTCTTTTACTGCTGACCTTTCTGTAATCCAATGCCACTGATTGCAGACTGGTTCGAATTACTGGGTACCTTCGTGACACGCATCGTTATTGCATTTGGTGTGGTTGCCAATTCGAGAATTTCGAAGAGCTCGGCAGTTATTGCCCTGGACAAGATCGCCAAGCTCATGATTCCATAGACGAGTAGATTTGACGGGTATTGTTATTGTTATTCGATCTCTTTCTGTTGATAATTGGTCTTTTTTTTCATGTGGCTCCAGATTGTTTCACTTGACATCGTTCATAATGTCATGTTCCGTATTGCAAATTGCTCGTATTGTTTGTATTGCAATCAGAGGTGCGGTTCGGCTCGGAAGGGGCATTTTGCTGGTTCCCGTCGATCACTGCCGAGATCTCCGTGGACACCTATAAATTCCTGTAAAGCTCTGCCATAGCAAGAGCTTCTACAAAAATCTACAGGTCTTCCCGAGGTGAAACGTGTAATTTGACTGGAATAGCAGAAGTCGAAAGTGCTAAATACCCCCCCCCCCTAAGCCGAACCGCGCCGAAGTAGCTAAGAAAATGGATGTTTTCTGCCTGATACAAGGCCTATTACTTTTTTTCATCGAGAAAGTAATGTAATAAAGTGAACAAGGCACTGTTTTATTGGTTCGTCTCCAAATAAATGGTAATACCAATTCTCCTCTATTTTTTTTTCCTTGAACCTTCTTAGTTTGCTGTGCTACGAATGCCCCTCTCGGCTGTACTTCTGTTTCGAGAGCAGAAGTGAAAGCCAGCGGCGTATGAGCTTTGAAGAGTTCGAGTCGTCCCGTCTTTGGCTCTTAGCAGTGTTTTGCGATTTGTTCTCGATGTTGTTGACAGTTCGAGAGAAAATCGGGGAAATGATCTATTGTGTAGCTAAAAGTGGGACGCTGTTCGGCTTGGGAGGTGCATTCTGCAATTCCACTGGTTTCTTCTATTAGTTCCTGTTCGTCTCATCTTGGGAGACCTATAGAGCCTTGTCTAGTGTAAACGGAGCTCATGTGTTGCATAGCTCTACAGAGTTCACAGAGCTCCACAGTAGGCAACGGTACTGTTCGACAACCAGACAAATGCCCTCACCAAGCCGAACTTGGGCCAGAAATCGCTTCGTAGTGTTCGATTCAGCGTGGATTTTGTCGTGATTGCTGACTCTTCTGAAGGTT